GTACCTATTATAAACTATTTAAATTACTCAAGGATGATTTTAAAGGTAATTAATATAAATTAAAAATAAATTTTAAATTTTAAATAGAATGTTTGAGTAAGTGCTTCAATGYATACGAGACATGCCATAGTGTAAACTGTAAACTTATTAAAATTATGATTTCGGCTTTGTATATTATATTGTATGTAGCACGAGTATCTATGAATTCTCCTATATAGGTATTATGGATTATTATTGTGCTCCAGGTATAGCGGAGTAGTGAATATCATATCTGCTATGGCTATCTAGTAATTTATCAAGGAATTTTAAATAGCTGGTAATTTAATATATTTTTTTATTATTATAGTATTATTAAAAATGTTTATTTAATATGCTGTTACATTTATTTWAAAAAAAAAGTATAAAACATTGGAACGAATAATGTATAATTGTAAAAACATTAAACAATATAATATTATATGCAGGTATATTGAGGTAGGTACCTACATGAAAACGTTTATAGGCTCRATTTGTAAAACTACCTATATATATTTAATAACTAATAAATAATAATTACAACACTAATAAAACAATACGGCGAAAAAGTTGCTACATATTATATGGATTTAAAAACATATTTTATCCAGAAAAATCTCCGCATTTAAAACATTTGCAGTCCGCTGGTTCTTTTAGTTTTACTTCCAACGTGGCCATTTTATCACTGGTCAATCTTACGCCATCGGGATCGTAACAATGTGTAAGGGCGATTATTCTCTCTCTCAAAAATGTTTCACGACAACAATAACATTCCTGAAAACACGATATAACATCATAAAGACAATAAATAATAATTATAGTTAGTTAGATTTTAGTTATTTAGCTGTAAATTCGAATGGAATAATCTGTGATTTTTATTGTATTCCTAAACAACCTACATATAGATTTCTAGTAAAATTCTAAAATTTAGAAACGAGTAGACTAGTCGTTGAATAACATTATTAACCTATTTTACGATTGACTACATAAAATCATGCAGCTGATTCGCTGAATTCAGTGCTTTGATCATTCATATTTCAATATTTGTTAAAGATAATATTTAATGCATTATGTATGAATATTGAATAAATATCATAAATTCATAACTAATAAGAATTTTAGATACATGCATATAGAATAGATTCTAAACATTTCGAGGTACCTATCTAACTTTAAAAAGGAGAAAAGTAAGTTACCGATCTGCTGTAAGGCATTTATTTATTAATTATTACAGATACAGGCACGTATTTGAGGGGAGGGGGGTGATAGGGGCGACCCCCCCCATAAGTTTACAAAATGTCAACTCGGATATAAGTAATTCTACAGAAATTATACATGATGTCATTGATAACTTGGAAAATAAAAGAACCAATTGCTCTGAGGAATTCAACTTAATATTTGAAGTATGCAAAAAAGAAATGATAAAGCATGATATAGAAATAAAAAAGCCTCGAATAGTATGTCGTCAAACT